GGGAGGACTTGTGCGTCAGGTTCGCATCAAGACTAGGAGCAGCTATCTCGACAGGCCCATCACCAAAGTGTGCCTACTTCAAGAAGCGGAGGAGCCATGAAAGGCTGCAGGGACTTTTCATCCTTTGTGGATATGGACAATTTGTATTGATTTGGACACTTGTGCTTGTGAATGGACTCGAATTGAAGACTTTCAGGTTTGAAGGATTATTTGCTAATTGCTACAGATTTTGGGTTGTGGGTAAGGAATGTCTTGTATGTGATTTAGCTAACATGTTCATTTTCCAAGTTTGTCTTCTACATGTTAGTAGTGTTGTAATTATTGCTTTAGCATAATTAGGGGCCGGAATGTAGGAGCCATACATGTAAGTTTGTATATTCACAGGCGTGGTTTGTGTGGGCACACTGCATTGGCACTTTGGTGGAGGGTGTGTCACTGTGGATTGTACTCCGAGATTATTTCTAACTCCACTCACCTGTTCACCTATTCGTTTGGCTTTGGACCATGGTGTGGGGTGAATGTCGGAAGTGAAACTCTCTGTTGACCGCTTCGCTTTGAAACATTACATGATGTAATCTGTGTGCTTTGCTTTGTTATCTTTAATATTGCGTCTGTAAGTTATTGGAGCTGCATCGCTATGATGAAGTAATAAATGTGACAGAGCCTCAGAAACAAGAATGGATGTTTATTGTGCGCGTCAACAATTATCTTCCGTATTTAGCCCACTGCGGCTCATTGAACTTTAAGTGATCGCCAGTTTAGCCGCAATAAATACTTTCATTTTATGCTACTTTATACATACTCCACAACAATTCAGAGGGAAATAATGTACTTTCTACTACAATACATTTATAGCTTTAGGGAGCAACTTGAGACCCAAATAGATAAAATGATTCAATATTTCACAAAATAAGCAACAATTAAAGAAACTTAAAAATAAATAATTAAAATAAATAATTATAGCTATAATTTTGTCTTCTTTCCTGCCCTATTTATTACTGTACCTTACAAACCCCTCAGATTTTATTTGTGATCTCTGAAGGGGGCATGACCTCTAGGTTGGGAACCACTGGATTAAACTGACTAACTGTATATAAAGTAGTTAAAAGTAGCTCCACCTTGAGCAGCTACAACAGTAAAATGCTACTTTTAATAACATCACTCACATTGGTAAATTTTCTGCAGAATGAGTATGACTTTTGACACTTTAAGTACATTTTGCTGTTAACACTTAACATACTTTCATCTGAAAAGGACTTTGAATGCAGGACTTTGTACTTGCAATGGAGTATGCTTTTGGCTCACACAGCATCAGTGGTCTGACCTTTACGATAGGGCTCAAGCACGACATCAGACTGGACACAGAGCTTCCTGAGCAAGGCTACACCCTCAGTGGTCTTCAGATTGATGGCCACAGATTGTTTTCCCCGCGCTTGTGTATCCATAGCCATGGCTACCTTGGTCCGGTCCACGCGGATCACCTTGGCTCCAAAGTCTGCCAGGATCATGCCACAGAACGGTGCAGGAGCCAGGCCCGCCAGCTCAATAACTCTCACTCCGGCCAGTGCCATGATGAAAGGACTGTAAATTGGAATATTAAAAACACCTGTCAGTATAATGTAACACAATGCAACACCAATAGCAACACCACCAATAGGGTGAAGGGGGGCTCACATCAGATTCTGTGACGTTATCAGGAATTTCACTAACTACTGTTACTGATGTCAGGTAGAAATTTTTTTTTTTTTTTTTTTACAACAAAATGTTTTTACAATGACATTATGGCTTTAGCACAGGTTAGCACTGTCGCATCAAAGTAAGAAGGTTCTGGTTTCCAGCCTTGGGGCATTTCTGTGTGGAGTCCCATAACCCACAGACATGCATCTTAGATTAATTGGTAACTCTAAATTACCTGTAGTTTTGAATGTGAGCGTGAATGGTTGTTTTGCTGCAATTAACAATTATTTTCATATGACAGCAGCACCCTGCTCTGTCATCAGCCTCCAGATCTTGTGTAGTTGCTTTGTGTGTTACTTGGATAATTGCTATTCTGTGAGATCTTGTTAGCGCTCTAGTTGTCAATATATTGGAACATGTTGTAAATAGAATCATTTTCTCATTATTTTCTTATGTAACGTTCTCTCCTGGTTTTGCTCTATCCGGGAGAGTTAGGTGTAGTTAATATCTTTTTGTTAGGCATTTCAATACCTATCACGCTTTTCCAGAGCCCAAGGTGACATTTTTAAATAACTGTTTTTGCCCAACCAAACCGGAAACTCTCTGTACTTTTTCCACTCAGTCTTTTTCATGGATGCACCTGCAGCCTCACAGGAAACGATGAGTCACCAGTTGCGATTTCACACCACCATGTTGTTATTATGTATTTATAATACTGGCCAAAGTGCTGCAATGTTACCACAGTGTTTGAAATGCAAAAAGCCACATTTTGAAGATCTGTCACGGGTATTATGGCATCAAAACTGAACTTCCACTTTTCTATATGTGACAGGAAATTTGAGCTGAAATGTTAAGGTGATTAATCAATCAACTAAAAATAACTGCTAGTTATTTTTTTAATTAATTGTTTCAGTCATTTTTCAAGGAGAAAATATGAAAAAATATCACATTCTGTGATTCCTGCCTTTGAAATGAGAGGATTCCCTGCTTTCTTGTCATATATCATCGTAAACTGAATATTTCGGGGGGGGGGGGGGGGGTTTTTGTTTGGATTTTTGACCGATGTACCTTTGGCAAAAGGTACAAAAGTTTTAGGTACTTTAGATGTTTAGATTCTTTTCCATCATGCAATTCCACCTGGGAGGTGTCTGATCTCAAGAAGAACAAGGAGTCCTGCAACAGGTGGTCTGGCCCCCACAAACCTAGCCTTAATCCACAACAGAACTGTAACAAGTTCTCCAAGATGCTTGGAACAACCAGGTTTACCTAGAAGAATTGGTGTTGCTCTAAGGGTTAAGGCTGGTCACACTACTATTGTATTGATAAGTTTTTTTCTGTTTACTGCACTTTGTATGAATTTCATTGATCAATAAGAACTTTTCTTTGCATGCTTACTTTACTTTTAGTGGCTAACACTTTTGCACAGTAATGTAGAAACCACATGTTAACTAAGTAGTTCACAGAACTGGGAGAGAAGTAATAGCTGTCAGACCTGCTGTGACAATAACCTTTAGACTTTGAAACTGAGTATAGCACACACTTTTTTCAAATGTCCAAAGTGTCACACTTTATCAACCAGTGCTACCAAGCAGGTTACAACCCTGCTTGTTACAATAGTTTTTTAAAAAACAAAATACTTCAAGAACTTTGTGCAAACCGTCCTTGTACACAGAGTGATCCAGGGACATGCACCCACCGTGTCACACTGTCCGACATTACTTTAATAATGACAATGGATTACGGTGATATTACTATGCGAGTGACTGAGCGAGAGTTTGACCAAAAACACAACAAACCCATGTATGTAGCTACAGCACTGTTATGGACGACCAAACAACAAAGTTACATCATTAGTTAGGCTACATAAATATAAAGGAGTCTGTCAAAGTGCAGCCTGTTCACACAGTTCAGCTTACCTCTGCTTGCAAGTCGAGGACAGGATACCTCTACTGTGACGGTGTGTATACACGCCTGGAAGGAAGACAAAACTGCCAGAGACGCTCAGCGGCGGATCACGTGATACCCACAAGACTTACTTTTGTTTGTAAATGTTACAAAATAAACCTGATTTGAGTAGAAACGTGTAACCACCAATCATGCTGATACACTGACCCCGTGTGACTCCTCTTTGTCCTCAGCTGTACACCTGTAACTGGTTTTATTTATAACCGGTCGGAGGCGAAGAGGGTCAACCGTCGGACACCGCAGTGTACCCCGTTTTAACGTCGAGTGCTAACTCCGCCTAGCCGAGGGACTTGCTGTGTACGCCGGTTGTAAGTAAAAGCGAACACTGTTTACAAACGGTTTCCTGGTGACCTCAGCGTAACGGTAGCAAGATTTCTGGGAAATGAAGTCTCTCATGATTTCACTCGAGTCGAAGAAATCAAACTGTTTTGACAAGAAACTGCACTTATGGTGGTGTCAGAAAAGGCAGCACGAAGGTTAGAATTTAGCACTAGATTTTAACAATGATTTTAATATATAAAGTGATGTACACAAATTAAACTAGGCTGGATGTATTGGATAGCCTACATAATCAACAAAATAGTACTGATAAACTTCCAAAAGTGCAAAATAATGTAAACCATTATTATAAACGGGGATCAATCTGATTTTCTTTCTTACTTTAAAACAAAGCTGTATCTTTTGAGAGAAGAAATAACATAATCTTACTCTTTAAAATGAAAGGTTAATTCATACACAGCGAAACACACCAAATTCATCACACTTTTGTAGCCACAGTGGGTCACTCTTCAACAAGTTATCCAGTTTCAGTTATGGACACAACACAATGTTACTGGACTGGACAGGCTGAACCTTGATAGCCTTTCCACCTAGATCACAAACAGGATGCAGGACAAAGTGCTGTCTGAAAGGGATTTCTTTACCCTCACAAAACAGAATCATGTGTGATGAAAATCTAAAGCAGCTAAATTTTAAATTTAACTAATTAAATAAGATATTTTGTTGCCTAA